GATCTGATTAGGTACTGCAGGAGACGGGCAGAGATCGATTACGCGGGGCTAGAGGACGCGAGATTTCTCTTCGAGGTCGCGGCCTAGGGAATGCCGGGAAGGACGGTCACGGTGATGCGTGTAGAAGAGCAACTGGTAAGTACAGGATACACTATGATAGTACTTCTCCGAGCGTACGTAGACGAGGACTTGACGGCGAGTGAGCGTAGACAACGAGCTAGGGATTTGATCCACGAGCGTAGAGCTGATGTAATGGCGCGAGTGACCTTCCAGACCTCGATTTCCTATAATGTGATGATATGGTCTCATGGTTATATGCGCACGGAGCACTACCACAATGAGATGGTAGCGGAGGCTGGAGCGAGGGTGAGAGGGTGAGCTGGAGAAAGATGTGGACTGAGTATGGAAGAGGAGAGTGAGGCAGTCGGAAGAGTGAGAAAGCGCGTTAAAGAACCACTCTTGAACCAGGTAAAGAAGTTGGGGGACAAGTTAAGGAAGATCTGGTCGTGTCAAGACGAGGGCAAGTTGCGAAGGGCTGAACTCGTGACGAGAGAGTTAGAGAGTCTGTTTAAGGAGGAGAGAGAGATTATCCAGGCGTGGAGATCAGACTTTTTGGAGAAGGTAAAGGCTAGAAGCGTATCACGCGAAGAAACTAGTAAGCGATCTGCAGAGAGCGAGACAACGGAAGACAAAGTAACGCAGGGGAGTAGCGACAGGACATGAGCGGGACTGCACTACACACGACGGATCGGTACTCATTACATGTAGTAGGGAGACTGGACGGACCATTAGTGTTAGTGATCATAGAACTCCAGCTCCATACCAGACTATGCATAGTTGAGGAGGCAGAGTGTTTCCGCCGTGCGCTGCGTGAGGCAAGGGGGACAGGACTTTGGATTGGAATAGAAAGAGGACGGAGGATAAAATACGTACTCCGAGTAACACCCTTCGAAGGGCGGTCTTGGATAAGGGCAGGGTACGAGACGACCAAAGAGGCTGAAAGGTTGAAGATAAGCGAAGCCACGAAAGCTGGAGAGTTAAGGAGGGTTGTAACAGATGGTGCAATACTCAGGGTGTTAGCCGCTCACAACCGGTACTGGAAGGAAACGATAAAGACATTAGAGGCGATAGACGAAGGAGGAGATAATTTATGACATATTGGAGCGGTCGGCGATGAGGTTACAAGTCGTTATAGCACTAACTTACCTCAGCTGTTAGACAGATGACCTCGTAACCGTTGAGGAGGTAAGGTAGTGGAAATAGAAATTGGAAGCTCTTGGAATGATAGAGGAAGCTAGTAAGGTCGATGGGCGACATTGGGCGACAGTAGGAGGGTCTTTAGCGGGCTAACCGATTCAGACCGGGCTAGGAGAACTAGCAAGGAGGACGGAGAGAGACGCTCAGGGACTCTTGAGGAGTGTTAATCAGGAAACATTGGCTGGGTTTGGGATTGCAATCTGTCTCAAGGATAGAGGTCCTGTCACGGGCGTACTGTGGATCCGGACAGGCACGGCCTTGTTAACCGATCCCGAAGGAGAGGTTACTTAGACACAGGGATTCTTGGGATAGAGAGAGAACACGAGGTCTGCGACCGGTACGGGATAGTGGAGGTGGTAATCAAGGCAGTCGAGAGCTAAGATTGGAGGCGGACGCGAGTCGTGACAAAGAAACAGGTCCGGGCTGCTGCGACTGTCACAGGTCCGGGCTGCAGCGACTGTCATAGGGTCGGGCTGTAAAAGTTGGCTAGAATACCTAACTGCATTTTCTAGCGGTCCAATGGAACCCGACACGATGGGGCCACAACCGACCACGGGCGAAGCAGGAGAGGAGTACAGGGCATCGTCCGATCGAGCACTGAGGGATCTGAAGGAACGAATTAGGCAAGAAGCACCGCTGAGATAGGCTGACCAAACAAATGACAGAGGGCCCGACATGAGAGGCGAACCAATTGCGTCAGAGCCGCAGGAGGCTCTAAAGACGGGTACCTCGAGCGGACGGCGCTCCCCCGAGTACGAGCGGAGGGACACCATAGCGGACAGGTATAGAGACGACTGGAGAGAGAATTTGAGGGATTCCTATTGGAGGGACATAGATAGAGACAGGGCGCCGCCCAGGCGAGTTTTCGACCCCCAGACAGGGGAGTCACATCCGCTCCCTTACGAGAGCAAGGACCGCTATATTATTACGCACAAGGTCTCAGAGCCTCTTACCTTCAGGGGCTATGGTATCACAGAATATCTGGAGAAGTGGGAGCTTCACGCCAGCCGGAGTCAGTTGTCGGAGGAAGAGATTATAGAGAACTTCCTATTTAATGTGGACCCAAGTCTTGGTAGGGAAGTTAAGGAAGCTCGACCGAAGGATGGGAAATGGACTACGTACAAGGAGAACCTCGTTGAACTTTACAAATTGGAGGATAACAAGTATTCCGTCAAGGACCTTGAGACAATGACTCAAGATGAAGATGAGAGCATGCGGGCATTTCGGATGCGTTTCCAAAAGATCTCCGACGTGCTGGTGAAGAAGGGGAAGATCTCAGAGGTCGAGCGTTGTACTATCTTCATCGAACACTTGTCCAAAGGAAGGCAAAAGAGTATATTTAGAGATCTTCTGCGCGACA